TATATATATATATCTGTAAAATTCTGTACATTTTATATCTCCAAAAATATAAGAAAGTAGAACCACAGACAAAAAATAAAAACTTCAATTTCAAGGATTCGATAATAAATCTTGTCTGCATTACAAAAGATCTTTGAAATCCAGATAAAATTTTTTTGAACTACAGACCACAAAACACTAAATAAAACTTAAACTAGATGTAAAACCCTTTTTAGCTTCCTCGACAGTGCAAACTTTAACTATTTTCTCACCCGTGCGAGACCTGGATCACAAGATAATGAAAATGTGCAAAAGCAGACGATGCTGGAAGCAAACATATCGCGATGTCTGTATTAAAAAGTTGTGCAGGTTCGTTTACGAGTGGAAAGCAGCTGTCAAATCCTCGAAGGGAATTTGCAATTGATATACTATAAGACACAAAAAATTCAACCAATTAGTGTAAAAGAAGAGGAGATAAAATTGCAGAAAAGCAAAACCAAAGAAAGAAAATAATGTAGAAAGACTAAATTGCAGAATAAAGTAGCACAATTATAGATTAAAATATTCATTCCAATCTGGGAACGAATTTAAAAATATGTCATGCAGGTTAAAGATGGTGAATAGACGCATTACTCATTAGCTTTCAAATTCGTTTCAAATTTGTGGCTTCAAATGTAATAAAAAACTTGCATGAAGTAATAGGAGTCCTGTGCAATGGCAGTGAACAGAAAGATATAAAACTGAGTAGAAACCAGAAAAGCGTATTACAGAACGTTTTTTAATTAGTAAACCTAGGTTATTTTCAGTATTTAAAATGCACTACAATAATTAACCAAACTTAGCCACAAACCCACAAATCTCTTCGACTTCCTCATGCAAAATTATATCCAACATAAACTACTGTTACAGAGACTAAAATATATACCACGTAATTTTCCCAAAATACATCAATTTGTAAAATTTTTCCTTTACAATAGAAATGCTTTAAAATGCAGCAAGAGAAATGAAAGACAAGATGCAAACCAAAATAAGTACATTATAAATTGTTAGCGATTACCTATTTAATAGATTAAAAAGTTTGATTTAGTACTTTCACGAATGAAAATCTAAATGAATTTACAAAGATAATTCACGCTCAGCACTCAAATGTAATAAACTGCAGAAAAAAAAGCAAGTACCTAACTTTTATAATTTTAGAAATATTAAGCTTCATACTGTTAAAAATACATAGAAAAAAGCAATTAAGTGAAGCAAGTTTGAAATTTAGTTTCCTCACACCCTGAAGACACCTTCCCACTCGGTCCTCTTTTTACACAGCTTTTTAAGCAAAACGTACTAAGATTCTATAGTACCAAAATCATTAATGCAAAATTTCTGCTCTTTTTAACAAATCGACCATGGCTTCATGCTAATAACTGACTAATTTCTGCTGTCCGGCTCCACCTACTCCCCTTGCAAACGTTTTCAAACCTCTCCTTACGTGCAGACCCGCAGCAAAAATTATAAGAAAATCTCATCATTCCCACTCGAAAAAACTTCAATTTAAAAGTAATAAATTAGGAAAACTCGACAGAGAAAAAAGTAAAAACCAATTATAAAAAACCGTCGGTAAACCAAAACTTCTGTGATTTTTATAAATTTTAAACAGCAAAGCTTTAACAGCTAAGAAAACCAAGGCAAATGAATGTGCCTAAAAAATAAGTTCTTAAAAGAGACCGTTGTTAATAGTATCAAAAAACTATTCAATTTCTTTACGAAACACTAGCTCATATATCTCCAAGTGCCCCTAATTATTAATGCCTTCCTTAGCACCAAAGATTAAACAAATAATAGAAAATAAGAGCTCGCAGTATAATTATAATCAGAAAATAAATTTTTTACCGACTAAAAACCCAACCTTCCATAGCGAAGCTAGATAATTATAAAAAATAAGCGAGCAGTCAAAAATCGTTCTCAAGCATATAAGACCTTGAATGTTTCATGTCGCACTTGAAGTTTTCTAGGATTGTGCTTCCAAAATGCCTCAGCATTACTAATACCAACTCAATAGAATTTCTATATTTTATTGCTAGATTCAGCTTTCTGTTCAAAAATGAGCAGAAATTTGTTTTCTCATCAGTTATTTCTGTTAGAAAAGCTGTAAAAAGTGGTTAGATTAAATTTCTAACAATAGTTTTTTGATTAGTACTGCATTGCATTGGTCTTCTAAGAAAGACAAGAGACGTAGACGAACTGACTGAGATTTGTAACATCTCTCTCATTTACCCTAGCCCACTTAAATAGTCCCTCCTGAGCTACAGATTCCATAAAACTTTATTTATATCTGAAGAAAAAAAGAGCATTCAAACAAATTTAAAACGATTAATGATAAAGTAACCTGGCTAAGTTAATCCGATCAGATGTCGTCATTTTCTCGACTGTACTGAGTTCAGCTATAAGCTGTTCGTGATCCATCTTGATTCACAAACAGTGTAACTGATAACGCAAAAGGTTCAGTAACAAGAAACCGCAAAATCAAAATATCTGAAATGATTTACTTGAAGTCTAGAAACCTATTATCAGTTACATATGAAAAAACTGTTCAAAAATAAAACAATAAGATCAACAATTTTTTAAATACAGAGTAATAGGAATAGCACTGCAGTTAACTAGAAAATAACGCAGAGCAGAAAATAAATATATTTAATAAAAAACTTACAAATTTAATTTGAAATAAATATGGTAGTATAAAGGAAGGATATGAATAGCTGCCAGTACAAAAACACATGCAGCGTTCAGTTAAAAGTAGGGGAAAAAGAAATGTGAAAAAATTTCGAATCGTAACAAGGATGAAACGGGTTGTCACTAATTTGTAACCCTGTCAGAAATGACACTGAAAAAAAAAATAAATTGAAGAAATTCTTTTTTTGCCAGCAGTTATCCAAGCAAAGCAGCCAATACCAATATATAACCGCTGCTGTTGCTGTAGATAGTTTAGCACAGTAGTAATAAATGAATTAGTGTTGGCACAACGCCAAATACGCAGAAAAATATCTGTACAGAACGCAAAAGACAAGAGAAGTTACACACACCTATAAAGCATACAGAAAAATAAACTGTTGTCAAATCCAAAGGAACGTAACGACAGTTGCTGTTTGTTAGTTGTATGTGTATGTGTCTGTGTCTATG